ACAAACATTAATCACGTAGGAATTACATTGCAAAGTCGTTATTCTTTATTTAATTCAAATTCTTGAAAGGAGCAAAAGTAAACAAGATTCGCCTTGGCTTAAGTGATCAATAAACCAATTAATTATTCAATTCTAATCTTATTTAACGCAAGATACTATGTGGAATTGATTAATTAAATATTCTTTTAAAGTGGTCAAACAACACTATTTAATTGATTAACGTTCTTTTAAAAAAGAAAAGTAGATGTGATTTATCTAAGTGCTCAGGAATTTACCACTTCTCTTTGCTAGATCTCTGTTTAGAACACTCATGGACTCCTTCTTGTTCGGGAACCTCCACTTAGTAACAAAGAGTAAGAGGGGTGAGTGTTTAGGACAAGAGGGTTTGGTAGCACAAGTTCACAAGAGTTTTTGCCAGAGTTTTTAGGTTAATTTCTGTGTGTTTAAGCCTCGTATTAAGCCCCTATTTATAGGGAATGGATGCAATTAGGGTTTTAAGCATTCTGCCGCAGCAAGTGTCGCGCTCATCAAGATGAGTTGCGCGCGACATCCCAGCGCAAGTAATTTAGTTGCGCTGTTATGGGCAACGCAAGTAGATGTCTTGCGCGCAGCATTATGATAATATTTGACGAGCGCATCTCTAGAAGTTGCGCTAGGTGTTGCGTATAACTAAATCAGTTGCGCGCGCCAGACCAGCGCGACTCATTGAGATTCACGCGGCTTTTTCTGCGGCAGCATTCAATTTAACCTAGGCGCCTTTAAATCCGTCATTATTGGGTCTTAAGCACGGGCTTAAGCCTAATTATGATAAGGTTTATTTAATTGGACCTAGTTTGTATTTGTTTTTGGGTTAGGCTAGTCTTTTTGTGTCTTTGCGGTTTAGCCAGTCATCCATACGTATTCTTTACTTTGATCCAACACGAAGATGGTTTATATTATCATCATTGTACTTCCTGTCGGGACAGGAGGCCAAAAGTAAATGTCTACAGGGGGCGACAGGCCTTGTCGCCAAGCCAGCGCACGCAGGAACCTTTTTTCGCCACGCATCAAAGCTGTCGCGATACGACAAGAATCACGCATCGCGTGATTTCTGTTGTTTGGCACTAGAGTCGAGTTTTCGAAATAAAACCCCCTTTCTTCTCCATTTCAGCGTGGCTGCTTCGTTTCACTCGGTTTTGCTCAGGAATTCAAATTACTCATTCTCCCTTGTTTCTCTACCAAATTCGCTCAAGTTTATTTGCAAATTGAAGCTTTCGATCTCTATTTTCCCGATCAATGTAAGTTTTCCCCGAACTCACCTTGGTTATGTTGAATTTTGCCATGAAATTGTTTGTTTGTGTTTATATATTGCCTGGGGAGTGTTTTTAGACTTGTTTGACTCGATTTGGTGAAGAAACGAACATTTTTCCATTGTTAACCCCTTTGAGTTCGTGAGAACAATGTGGCTCGTTCTTGATGTTCTTGTTAGCTATTCATGCTCAATTTGTCGCAATTTTTGTCATAGTATTATAAGAAATTGTTTGATTGCTTTAAAATGCTATTTTTGTTAAAATCAAAATCATGCTCTATTTTAATACTACATACTTTGTTTTTTTTAACATAGTATCATGCGGCTAGGCGAACCATAGATACTATAGAACCTTTAATTTATTATTATTTTATACAATTTAGCATGTCTCGACGTCGTGGCTCTGTTTCTCGTTCCCGTGAGGCTCACCAGGAGGACGAACCTGTTGACGGAGGCGAGGGAGCTTTCACTAACCTAGGAGAGTTCCCTGAGTGAGACGAGCGCACTCTCTACTTCGCGCCTGAGTTTCACATCTCAGAGCGAGTGTGGCTCGGGACGTCCAGCGATTGTGTTGGTTGCCACGGCTCAGGCAACGGGTTTATTGGTCAGTTGTACGACCTTCATTTTTGCGACAACAATGAGTTGCGTGAGCTATGGGAGTCTTGTGGTCTGACTCCTCTTCTCTAGGCTACTCAGGCCATATACACTTTCACATCCAGTTGTTCTTTGGTTCGAGCTTTGGTGGAGTTCTTTTGGGACACCACCAACACTTTTCACTTTCCTTGGGGTAAGATGGCTATCACTCATCTCGACTTCTCTCTTGTCATTGATTTAGAGTTCTGGGCAGTTGCGATTCCATTTGGCAGCGACATTACTGTATTCTCTCCGGAGGTAGAGGAGTTGATCTGCCCTATATCTATTCGAGCTCGTGGTGAGGCTCGGCCGACGCTGATCAGCACTCAATGCATTCGCCGGAACATGCTAATAGAGGCCTTTTAGGATGGTACGACTACCCTAGAGCAGCGGGAGCGCATCTTTGCTTTGATCCTTTTGTCGGGGACCTTCTCCCCTAACAAAGGTAGCCTCGTACTACTCTACTATTTGCCTGCTCTTTGTGACCTTCATATGGTCAGATCATATGACTGGGCCAGCTTGGCCTATGCTGACTTCCCGCTTGGATTGCGACTCGCTTATCGCCACCGCAGTTTCGACGGGGAAGTCACACTTTCTAGTTGTTGGGGAATCGTAGAGGTATATTTTATTTCCTTTAACCAAAGCTGGTTTCAGGTTTTATGCTAGCATTTGCTGACACCTCACCATGTCTTATAGGTCTGGTTCTATGAGTATTTCCCTTCTTTTTCACCAGCGAGGCCTTTGCCTCGAGGGCTCCCCATTGCTGCCAGTTAGGGAGGTTGTTTTAACGAACAGACTGCTACTGCTTGTGTTCGAGAGTTGATTCTCTCGGTATGTTTTCTTAACATTTTGTGTTTGTATTACCCTTAGCAGAACTTGAGCTTGTGGATGTTTGTTTTGTAGCAGCCTGAGGTTTGGTTTCGGCCGTGGGATGATTTTATCTTTCCTGCATTGGCCGTGCAGTACACTGCCCAGCGTTAGTATTTTCAGGGGACATACGATGTTGTGGTATACCTAGGTGAGTGAGTGAGTTGTGATTCAGCACTCTTTAGAGTCCCTTGTTGTTCCTTCTCGCCCTCCTAGTCATATGTTCGATTAGACGAGGCTGAGAGCTCGAGCGGCTAGGACGCCAGCAGGTTCAGATTGGAGGAGTCACATCCATCTGAACCGTAGCTATGAGGAGAGACTTTTGTTGCGCTTGGCCCCACCGCCTTCTTGCCGGAGCCGACAGAGGTATCTTTGTATTTTTCATTTGTTCATTTAATAGCCCCCGAGCCAATCCTAATTATTCCGATTTAACTTGACAGGCTTCGACTAGAGAGTTTGTGCCTCCGCCAATATCCATCGTCTACTAGGGCACTGTTGGTCCTGTTGAGGAGATGATTCCCCTGGCTCCAGAGCCATGGCGTTTCAAAGAGGAGTCGATGCCTCGACACCGGTAAGTCAATTTATTTGTTATCTCATTTGTGTATATTCCTTGATTATTTCTGACTTTGTGACTTGGCAGTTTTCTCGTGAGGTGATGACGAGGATGGAGAGAGGCATGGACGCCTTCCGCTACCAGCTCGCGAGGTTGAGCCACCGAGCTATGTATAGTCGCGGTGATGACGACATGGAGGTATTTCTCTTTGACTCCGTTTATGTTTATATTTTTTTACTGTACTTGACTTGATTTGCTTTTTCTGTTTCAGCCATTCCTTCGACGCGCACTCATATGAGACCCGAGGCTAGGAGGGAGAGATCGGGGTCTGACTCAAGGCGTCGCCGGACCTCGGCTGGGAGTCAGGGTGGTCGAGTGGAGTCGGACTGTACTGCCAGACTAGAAGGTTTTGGTTCTTCGTCTGAGGGTGCATCAGGGGAGCCGACCGGCCAAGGAGGCATAACGTCAGCTCCTTTAGCAGGTGGTGGGACGTACGAGTTTTACTCGTTGTCGCAGCAGCCACAACAGCCTCAGCAGCTTTCGCATTTGGGAGTGCAGCAATAGGCGAGCCCGAATGGGCTAGCCCTACTCTCTCAATTCCGGCTTCTGCAAATTAGGCTGCGGGCGAGGATCATACTCCATGGACTGTACAGTTCTTTGATACTTTTGGAGTTCTTCTTCATTTGCGCCCTCCGCCGTCATGGATGTACCTGTTCTCGTATTTATTTTGACTTTGTAGGACTTTGCTTATTTGACTCAGACACTTGAATATATATATAGCTATGATTATTATGTTTATTTTAAACTTTGCATTTTTTATTTATCATTTTATTATGCATGCAAGTGTGAAAATTACGACTAATTGCTCAAAAATTTCCGTCATTTTTATTATCTATGGAGGGTATCCGACTTTATTTCTTCCCCTAAAAAGAAAAAATGAAAAATAAAACTGAGCTTAAACTTGATCAGAATATTACAAAAGTATTTTCCATAAGGTTGGATTGAATGATTTTCTGAAAAGAAAGGTGAAAACCGTAAAATCGCAGTACAAAATCGAGTCAAAGTCAAGAAAAAAAACGTGGTCAGCGTAGCGTGCAAGGGTGGCGTGACAGACATCTGGCTGTCGCGATGCGACAGGCATCACGTGATGCGTGATTTCTGTCGCGTGGCGCTGGATTTATTTTTTCCGAATCCGATCAGGATTCGGTTTGCGCCGATTTTGTGCATAAATAGCCCCCAAATCTGACGATTTGTGGATAGTCAAATAGATTAAAAATAGTCTTCATTTTTTTATTTCTTAATCATGTAACACCCCAATAATTCTCTCTTAAGAACCTGTGAGAAACCTGTATATAACCTGAACAATTTCAAGAGAATTATTGGCGTACTACCGCCACGTATTCAAACATTAAGGCTATCTCAGAAATTAGCAGCGAAAAACTAAAACAGTTATGAATAAACTTCAAAACAAAAGGATTAAATCAAAATAAGTGTTACAAGTTGGAACCATTAAGGCCCTTATTCAAAACCCAATAAAAGTAGTAAGTGATTAAATCCAGTGTTCCAATAAATTCAAACCCAAAAGAATTAGTGTCAAATAAAATCGAATTAAAATAAATTCAAACTTGCAAAAGAAATAAAATGCAAACAACCAACTCTCTATTCAAGATCCCACAACCCTGATGAATGTTGCATGTGTAAGAACATGTGGTTATTCTGCAACCCAATATTACAAGTGTAAAAATTGGATCGTCACAGGGTCATTGAAAGGCGAAGTCCATGACCAAAGAAAGACACACACAAAAGCACGCAGTCAGCAAAGCTGAGTACATACAAGCTGCGAAATAAATTAAGAAAATACCTAACATGCTACTAATAATCAAGCACAAGCATCATTAAGTACAGACTCAACTCATGACTCAATTATCAAATTTATTAAGACCTCACTAATTGATATTAACTAGCTCACTTATTTATTTCATTGGATTTAGCAATAGACAAGGATGTCCAACCCATGTCCCATTTGGAACATCAATAAAAGAAAAACCCCATGCCTCCTTTCGGAAACATCAATAAACATCCAACGACCACGGGCGCGACTCCGTGACCGTAGCTAGTATGAGATCTCACCTAACTCCTAATTTTAGAAAAATAATATTTGAAATAGGATACTCGTAGATCAGACGGCCTCGATAAAAGTACACGACAAATACCCCATGTACCCCAACCCCTGATTGTCATTACTCCAAATATGCACCATTCCAGAGTTTTATTGCTCATCCATCTTGCACTTTACGTGATTTACAAGTTTAGACTTGGTGATGACTCATATACATTACAATACAAACATTCCAAACACAATTCAATCAAACATGGCAAATTCTCAATTTATATTCTTGATTTATTAGTGACAAACAACATTTATTAATTATTCCTTTACTACCTCGGTGTATAAACACCTTGAGTGCATAAGCCACCCCAAAACCTTAATCTACCTCGTCTTACAAGACTTGAATTTCTCCTTTACTCATCCTGTTTGCATAATCATGAATGAGTAATAATTTAATCTTTACACCAATCACATACCTTTGCCTTTAAGCGCACCTTGCATAATTAGAGCACAAATAATACTTGCATTATAAACTAGTGCACTTCATTTGAAATTCACAATGTATAACCAGACAATTTAACCCAGTCAATCCTATACATGATACTAAGTTCTCGATCCGTCCTCAACATGCACCTACAAGTGGTTTCGTAGCTTATACGTACCTTGTGTAAACAATCTGGTTGGCCACTTTAAAACTAGAAGTCGCCTGCTACAAAGTCCTCTCCTAAAGCAAACAATTAGAAATAAATCAATACCAAAGCAATTAAATTTACAGCAATACTAAACTACTTTAAAACCTCTTAAATCATCAAAATAAAGCCTTTAAATTGTCCCCAATAATCAAAGTTAATAATATAACATCCCAACTTTAAGTTTATATGTTAGAATTATGAAAATATAGTGTTTTATATCAAATTACAGCAAATTTAAAGTAAGTAAATAAATCTGGAAATTTGTTTTAAGTATATAAAATAACCCCATAAGCATAATTACTTGAAATAATCATTATATGGAAAGTTAGTGTGTTAAAAATCCAAGAATATATCAATTCAATGCAATTAGAGGCTTCAAAATAAAAAGTATGAAATCTGAAAATTATTTTTAAAATTAGAATTTAAAGTTCAAAGCTTTTTCAATCACAAAATACTCACAATAATTATTTTATAGGTGTAGAAGCATAAAAACATGAAACTAACATAACTTGCTCATTAAAATTGAAACTTTAATAATCTGAATATATATATATATGATCAAAATTATTTTACTTTAACAAAATTTAAGCATAGTATAATTAGATAACTTGATTAGCACGTTTTCAAGCCCTAAAACATGAAAAATCAATGTTCAAACCCTTATTTTCTTGATTAAACAAATCTAAAATTTTCTATAATAATTTAAACGTGTCAAAACTCATGAATTCATAATCTTTTACAACCCAAGTATAATATAAAACAATAATAACAATCATTTAGGATAAAAATTAAACAAAGATGACAACTTTAAATCAATTTAATAAAATAAAAAGAAGTAAATAAAAGGGAAGAAGAAGGGGCGAACTGCAGGGAGAGGCGCGGCTGGCCGAGGGTGGTGGCCGGAGGTGCAAATGGTTGTGGTGGCTGTGCGGCAGGGAGGCGGCAACAGAGCTTGATTTTTTTTTTATTTTTTGTGTTGCTGTTCGTGAATGCAGGGAGAAGAAGGAGAGTGAATGTTTTTTTTTTACGTGAGAGAGAGGAAAAGTGTGAGGGTTTTATTTGGGCCTTGGGTTTCCTAATTAGAAGGAGTAAAATTTGAGGTTTTGGGCTATTAAGTTAAAATTGTTTGTAAATTAGTCAAAAACATATTAGTTTACTTAAATCTTTTCATAAAAATAATTTATTCAATAAAATTGACATAAAAATATTTGTAAGAATAAAATATAGATAAATTATAATTAAGTTGAAAATATGGGGGATTACAATCTTCCCCTCTTAAAAGAAGTTTCGCCCTCGAAACTTTACCCAAAATCCATAGTTCCTCAAAAGTATTCAAACTTATGTGTTTTGTGTTGCTGTAAATGGAATGCGTCTCAATATGCATACTCAACAAACTGAACTTTGTACTCAATGAAATCATAGTTGGCCAAAGTTTACATACTTTTATTGTATGTAAACGCAATAATAATGCATAATGATAAACAAAAACATGCAAAATCAAGCAATAAATTGTATAATTGAGGTAAAAGCACGAAATTACATCGCATTCTTCCCCCCTCAAAAGAAAAGAGTTACGCCCTCGTAACTCACCTCATCAAAAAACTCGGGATATTTGTTTTTCATCTCATCCTCGGCCTCCCAAGTAGCCTCTTCGTACTCCTGGTTTGACCAAAGGACTTTCACTATCTTCACATCTTTGGTTCTAGTACTACGCACCTTGTGATCTACTATCTTGACTGGTCTTTCTTCATAAGTTAGAGACTCATCTAGTTGAATAGTTTCCGGCTGCAAAACATAGGTTCCACTAGGCACATACTTTTTCAATTGGGAAATATTGAACACATCATGCATTTTCTCGAACTCCATTGGCAAAGCCAATTTGTGAGCCACTTTCCCCACACGTTGGAGAATTTCATACGGACCCACATATTTTGCACTAAGCTTCCCTTTCTTGCCTAATCGCATCACACCTTTTGTTGGAGAAACCTTTAGAAAGACTTTGTCCCCAACACTAAACTCATCATCTCTCCTCTTCAAGTCGGCATAAATCTTCTGTCTATCTTGTGCTGCCTTGATACGCGACAGGATTACTCTCACCTTGCTCACCATATCCTCAATGAAATCTATACCCAAAGTAACCTGTTAACTGTAATCATTCCAGCAAACTGGGCTTCTGCACTTCCTTCCATACAATGCTTCAAATGGTGCCATCTTGATGCTTGCATGGTAACTGTTATTGTAGGAGAATTCGATCAAAGGTAGGTGATCCTCCCAATTCCCTTGGAAGTCTAAAGCACAAGCTCGTAACATATCCTCCATGGTTTGGTGTGTTCTCTCAGTATGACCATCTGTTGCAGGGTGAAAGGCAGTACTCATCTTCAATGCTGTTCCAAGGTTCTCTTGCACTTTTTGCCAAAACTTTAATAGAAACCTCGAGTCTTTATCTGACACTATGTCCTTGGGAACTCCAAACTACATTCTTCACATAGACACTTGATAGCTGCTTCTTTTTCCAGGTTTCTTTGATAGGAATGAACATCGCTGATTTTGTAAGTCTGTCTAACATCACCCAAATCGTGTCATTCCCAGTACGAGTCTTTGGTAAGCCTGTCACAAAGTCCATGGATATGGAATCCCACTTCTAACCTGGTATTTCTAATGGTTGTACCTTTCCCATGAGTCTTTTGTGGTCTATCTTCACCTTCTGGCACGTTAGACACTTGGATACAAACTTAGCCACTTCTCTCTTCATATTCGGCCACCAAGAGAACTCCTTCAAGTCCTTATACAACTTATCACCCCCAGGGTGAACTAAAAATGGTGTATTATGGCACTCCTCCATGATTTTCCTCTTAATATCCTCACACTTCTGTGGTATACACCATCTCTCCTTATATCTCAAGCTCCCATCCTCATGAATCTTGAACTCGGTCTCCGCACCACTGGTCACACGATCCCTAATCTTCTGAAACGATTCATCTTCCAGTTGATTTTCTTTAATCCCCTCAAATATGGAAGGTTGGATGGTTAAAGCACTCAGTAATCCCTCTAACTCTCCTTGGTTGATAACCTCAAGGTTCAATCTCCTCATATCTTCACACAACTCATTGGCCACAATCAAAGCACTGCCATTATGACTCGACTTGTTGCTAAGGGCATCAGCAACTACATCCTCCTTTCCCTCGTGATATTGGATGTGGACATGGTAGTTTGTAAGATACTCTAGCCATCTACGTTGCCGCATGTTCAAGTGATCTTGGGTGAAGATGTACTTTAAACTTTTATGGTCCGTGAAGATCTTACAAGAAACACCGTAAAGGTAGTGCCTCCAAATCTTCAAAGTGAACACAACAGCTGCAAGCTCCAAGTCATGGGTAGGGTAGTTGACTTCATGTTTCTTCAGTTGTCTCGATGCATATGCGATCACCCTTCCATTCTGCTGTAGGACACATCCCAGACCATGCTTCGAGGCATCACTATACACTTCGAATCCTTCTATCCCATCAGGTAATACCAGCACTGGTGCAGTGGTCAATCGCTCTTTGAGGGTTTGAAAAGCTGATTCACAACTCTCGTTCCACTCAAACTTGGTCTGCTTCTTCATAAGAGTAGTCATGGGTCTGGCTATCCTTGAAAAATCCTTAACAAACCTTCTATAATATCCAGCTAATCCCAAGAAACAATAAACATCAGTCACATTCTTAGGTGTAGGCTACTCACTCACCGCCTTGATCTTCGCATGATCCACGGATACACCCTCCTTCGAAATGTAATGCCCCAAAAATGCAACTTTGTCCAACCAGAACTCACACTTGGAAAACTTAGCATACATCTTGTTCTTCCTAAGAGTTTCAAGGGTAGTTCTTAAGTGCTCAGCATGTTCTTCCTCATTCCTCGAATACACCAAAATGTCATCAATGAACACAACTACAAACTTATCCAAGTACTCATGAAACACTCGGTTCATCAAGTCCATGAATATGGCTGGTGCATTGGTTAACCCAAAAGGCATGACTGTAAACTCGTAATGTCCATACCGAGTTCTAAAGGCTGTTTTTGGAATGTCTTTATCTGCAACCTTCAACTGATGGTACCCCGACCTCAAGTCAATCTTCGAAAACACGCTTTCCCCCTTCAGTTGGTCAAACAAGTCATCTATCCTAGGTAGAGGGTACTTATTCTTCACAGTCACATTATTCAACTCTATATAGTCAATACATAGCCTCAAACTTCCATCCTTCTTTTTCACAAATAGCACAGGTGCTCCCCAAGGTGATGCGCTGGGCCTAATGAACCCCTTGTCTAACAACTCCTGCAATTGAGCCTTTAGTTCACTCATCTTAGCTGGTGCCATTCTATACGGTGCTTTTGAGATAGGTGCATCTCCTAGAACTAAATTAATGGTAAACTCAACTTCCCTCTTAGGTGGCATTCCCGAAATCTCTTCTGGAAAGATATCTTAAAACTCATTCACAATGGGCACATCCTCCATCCGCCTACTCTCACTCATACTCAAATCTTGAACACAGCAAAAGTACAATGGACATCCCTTCGTCACTAGCTTCTTCACCTTCATAGCAGAAATGATCCCAAAACCCTTAGGCTTCCCTAACCGTCTATAGGACATTTTCTTACCCAAAGGATCTCTCAGTTGCACCCTCTGCATCTCACAGTCTATCTTAGCCTTGTATAAACTCAGCCAATCCATCCCCAGAATTACATCTAAGTCCCTTAGGTTAAACTCAATAAGGTCTGATGGAAAGATAGCTTCTCCTATTTTCAAAGGCAAGCCTTTGAATATTTTATTACAATAAACAAGTTTTCCCGTAGGCAGACTAACTGACATATCAACATGACTCGATGCAGTTAAGTTTAATTTGCGCACAACAGAAGTAGAAATGAAAGAATAAGCTGCTCCAGAGTCAAATAGAGTGTTGACAGAGACAGATTGGATAGAAAAAGTACCAGTAACTACATCCGAGGACCTCTCAGCTTCTCCCTTGCTCATCACAGACAAGCGGCCAGGAGTGTTGTTTCTTGACTGATTTATCATTGTTGTTGTTGCCTGAGTTGCTGCTGTTGCCATTGCCAGACCTGTTGTTATTGTTGCTACCATTCCCAAACTTCCCATTCTGACCATTTCCCCCTATTCCCCTGGTTATTGAAATTGTTAGGCCTCTTCTGGGTGTTCCCACCATTCCCACCATTTCCCTGTTGTTTCAGCTTGGTGTAACACTCATACTACCTGTGCCCCATTTTGTTGCAGAAACGGCAGGTCACCAAATTACCATCACAGTCTCTCCTAGGGTGGTTCCTTCTACACCTCTTACAGTGGTAGGTTCTCTCTCAATTGTTTGCATTAGAAGAACTGCTAACATTATGGTTACCCCTATCAAATAAGTTCCCATTCCTAGGCCTCTTAAGTTACTCTGATTCTCATATTTCCCAAAGTCCTTCCTTTTCTCCCCAGCCTCAGCACTCGCACTAGCAGTCCTAGTATTCAGATGGTACAGATGGGCAGCTCTCTCATAAACCTTGTCAAGGGTTTTAAAAACTTTTCCGGCTAGGTCCTTCTGTAACTCGTCAGTCAATACTACCTCAAGAGAAAATCTATAAAGGGTCATAAACTTATTATAGACTCAGAGATTGACATGTCTCCCGTTGCTAGGCTTATAAACACCTGATCCTTCTGTTTCTTCAAGAACGGGGGGTAAAACTTGTCACTTAAGGAGGTCTTACACTTCCCACCCAAAGTTAGGTTTGGCCCTAACGGTCACAGCATTTTCTCTCCACCAGATATCAGCTTCGTCCTTAAGGTACATAGCGGCCTAGTCCACTTTCATACCCTCAGGACAGTTGAGTGCCACGAACAACTTGTCAAACTCTCGAATCCAGTTTTCTAGGAAAGTAGGGTCAGCACCTTCCCTAAAAACTAGTGGCCTAACCTGGTCCAGCTTCTTAAACATTTCAGCTTGGGGGTCGACTTGGTCTCCCTGGTTTTGGATCACATTTTCAGCCAACAAAAGAATAGCATCAGCTAAGGCAGCGTTCTTAGCCATTCTAGCTCTACTCCTGAAATAAAATAAATATGCACTCCATTTTTAACGAAACCCAAATACTATTCACACATATTCATTGAATCACAATATTACATTTGTCACATAAATTGGTTCAAAAGGGTACCTTGAGATTGCACCCCCTTGTCCCAAGCAAAACCACACAATAAAAGTACGATTCATACAAATGAAGTTAAGAAAATAATTTTCCCATCCCGCGACACTCTTACTAAGTTTGATCATAAACAAAGAAATTTTCCCCAAGAAGTATATGATCACAAAAATTAAACTTGCTCTTGCTCACAAATAAAAGTAAAATGAAGCTCTTAAAAATAAAATATCAACTTCTTATTGTAACTTATATAAAGGTATCAATCCCAAATAAAGACTTTGTAACACTAGCTACTTATAAAAATTAATCATCTAAATCAGACTATAATGAGGTTCTAATAATATTAACAATGGCAAATGCCTTATTCATGCTAACTCTACCCTAACAAAAATAATCCTCAAGGTATCACATTGTTGTTCTTATCTTTCTTCTCATTATACTTGTTAACATCAAAATCAAGGTCATTTTCGTCATCTGAGTCTTCAATAATTATTGCCTTGTAGAGCGGATTCGGATTTCTAGTAGCTCTCTTCCCAGCATTTGGATCTTCAGGTGGTGGTTGTAACCATTCAAGCTCATCCTCATCTGGAAAATCAATAAGAGCATAATCATGAAACATTCTTTGGTAGGTTTTAATCTTATGCTTCTTATTCTTTGCTATTTTAAACTCATGTAAGTACTGGTAGTCTTCCTCATCTGGATTAGTTGGCGTCATAATCTTTTCAAACCTTTCTAGAGTATTGTCACTTCGAGTATCATTCTCATCCTCAGACACAACAATGGGGTTGTTCCTAATATCATTATTAACGCTTTCAGATGTGATTACTGAGTCGTTCATCTCTTTTCTACGTTAACCCAACGCAACGAACATTCAAAAAGCATAACACAAGCACATCATGACAGGGTAAAGTCGTATCCTCTAATCAAAAGTAATTACCTAA